GAGTAGACTCGAAGGAGGCAAATCCACACAAAACCGGCGAGAAGATATGCACAGCGGAAGCTCAAAACACACAGAGAATTGAAAAACGAATTTCAATTCTGCAATCCCTCGTCCTCATCCAATCAATCCAGAGTACTTGTTCAAAGAATCACAACCGCGTTTACAACAACCCCGAACAACCGGAATCAAGTGTTCAACGAAGTACGCAGGAGTCTTCTCGCTATGGCTGCCGCAGCAGCCGCAACCCCACAGCTGTCACAACGTGCCAATCTGAACCAGCAACCCCAATGATTAAAGCGCCAGCTCAGCACCCGCACGGAAGTGCAGCGCTGGCTCCAGCACTTCGAAGAAGACAAAGTTCCTCGAGAGGAGGAACAGCAGATATGGCTGCCAAGTGGGAGATGGCAGCACCCAAACCCAACAACACAGTCCTGTGGAATCTCTCATGCAGAGCTGTGAAATAGCAGCAGTGCGATCTTCAACTTCGTTTCCCAACCCCAGCTATGGCTGGGCTACGAGGAAGAAGATGACCTCGCCCAAAATAAAGCAGCAGCGCTCCAGCAACGGACGGGCAGAGTTTCCCCAGCCAACCAAATGTGAAAAGACCCGAACTAATTTTCCTGCCGGCTACTTCTACACTCCGCTAGACCTACGACGGCCTCCCCAAAGCAACAACCCAAGACCTATCTGTATCTAGATGGGAACAAGGGAAAAGGGGGCCTAGACCTATGACAAGGCAAAAGAAAAAGGTCGAATGGCCTAGGACTACCAAACAGAGACTAATAGTGACAGACACAGGGATCAAGTCCCATAGGACTCAAAACTAACAAACAAAACACATACAAATTACAGGTCACGGGATCAAGTCTCGCAAGGCTCAAAACAAGAAAACAAACTACAAAGCCAAACACTTCATGTGCAGCCCCACTGGGAAACTGTGATTTATTGCATCTCTCTCTCTCTCTCTCTCTCTCTCTCTCTCTCTCTCTCTCTCTCTCTCTCTCTCTCTCTCTCTCCCCCTAACTCCCTCCCCCCTAATTCCTGGCCCCTCCGTTCATCCACCTTCTCACATCAGCCCTCCCTCTATGGTTTGAGCATGCAAAGGAAGCTTGAGCTTGCTGCAAGAGTATGGGTCGCAATGGCTCACAGTAGTTGATAATGTGGAAGGTTGAAAAAGCGGGTACAATCTGAGCTAAGCAGAGGGCTGCCTGGGGTTGGTGTATATGAGCAGGGTTGGTGTATACGAAAACACACCACTCAGATCCTCTGTAAATTACCAGTATAGACCCTCTCCTCAACACTCTCTGCTGTTACACAAGGGGGTTGAAGGTTGGTCTGGTTTGCATGACCGGATACCCTGGCAGCCCAGTAAGGAACCAACGGCATGTAGAGTGCTGTGTAATGGAGCAACGTCCAATATCTACCAAGAAGTTTTGCAAGAACCAGTACTGGCTGTCTTCAGGACAGAAACATGGTAAAAAAACACGACATGCTTGAAACCGATGTGGGAAACATGGTATGCGCTGGCTATCTTCAGGACAGAAACATGGCAACAGAACACAACATGCTTGAAAAAGCACAACATCAATGGTACAGAAACATGGTGAAAAAAAAACAATATGCTTGAAAATCGATGTGCCTAAACCAAAAAAGGAACATCGAGCACTTACCATATACAACCTGCTTCCATCTCGGCACTCCTCCACAAGAGTCTTCGACTTCCGGAAGACAGTCTCCATTGACTTGAGTGCTGACTGTGCACTGTGCGGAAGCGGGGACGGCACATCCCTTAGCTCCTCGAGAAGAGGAACAATATTCTTGATGCGCCTCGTGAGTGCCACACAAAACTTCTTGTGACTTCTTGCAGTTTCCGCAGTCTTTGACACATTCTTTGAGAGCTGTATCAGTTGCTTGAGCAACAGCCAGGATGATTCTTTGTGGATTGCAGTACTAGTACCTGTTTCTCCCGAGATGGGGGCCATGGCCAGTGGCGGCAGGTGCACATCCTTCACACCAATAACCTCCCTGTGATCGCTGTGCTGCACACTTCCTGATTCCCTGCTTGGCAAAGAATTCACATCTCTGTGTATGGATGCCTGCCAATCCCTAGTAAACCGCCCACCTAGGGAAGCTGCCATTGTTGCAGCCCCTTCACTACCGCTAGGGAGGGAAATAGAAAAAGAGTCCGCTTGTCACGTGGATGCTTCTGCGAAGCCAACAAAATGTCGTCTTCCAACCTTACTACTCGGTTTTGCTTATCCAGTGAACCATAAATTATGTAAATGATAAGAAGACCACCAATGACCACAACGCTAGTCCAATCAATTACCACCCAAAGTATCCCAAATTAGGAAACTCCATGCACGACCGCACGACCAATCAATGAGCGAAGCGTCCACCCACCAACCAAGTGACCATCAATCCACCCCTCGCTCCATTGCATTCACCACCTTTCATGATTGAACACACCACTTCTTCGACAGTCACCAACCTTTCCTCTCCAGGTGTATATGTTTGAGGATATACATATATCGTATATATGTGCATATTACCGTATATACTAAAAATTAATTGTGTGTTCTAGTATCGATAGATGAACTGGAGTGTCACAATCCTGTGTGGCCAAAAAGGGCTATAGGCAGCCTCCTGAGAAACTTTGGGTGGTCTCTTCTAGGCACCCCTCCAAGGACCATCAGGCGGCTCTAAAAAAGGAGCCTTCTGCTCAGAAGCCTCCAAACTGTTCGGAACTTTTGTGGCCAACTTTTCCTCCCTACGGAAAGAGGACCTTCAATACTTGCTTCACATCAAGAACACATGCATAGTTCACGTCAAGGGGTCTGCTCTCCTGCAACCAGGAAACACATGGAGCCACATGAGGACGCATACATATGCATGCACGCGTACAGGATCCAAGTTAAAAACCCATACAAGTTCTTTTTTTCCCCGCATGCATGCATGTAGAGTGTTTCTGTTTCTTTTTTTTTCCCTCAATGCTTTATTTACATTTCGTCAGTCATCTCGTTACATTTGCACAATCCAAAACCAAACCGTAATCATGAACCATTCCACTTGCGAAGGATGCCCCAAAGGGCATGCACAGACTCATTGCCAACACACATTCCATTCGCACTTCTTAAGCATAAAAGAGAAAGACCTGTACTTCCCCACTCAGTTTATAAGACATTACTGAGGATGCAGAGCCGAAACAACGAAAACTCTACATATCCCACAACTACTTGTATGTCCAGATTGCATCTGGACTCGACCTCGGGTCTGTATTTCAACAGTTCACGAGTGTACCAACTGGGCTAGGGTCGTTGTAGGTTGTAATCTACCGAATGAGAGCAACTTATGTAAGTGATATAAATAATTGACAGAATAAGTGGCTACTTCATTGACTCACGAACACAGACCGAGAATCTCGCAACAGCAACACCCAGAGTGCATGTGACTCGAGATGTTCAACGTATGACCAAGAGATGGCAGGCAGACCAGAGTCCAAACAAAACGACAGAAGAACAGAGGGACGAGGAGGATAGTATCCATGCCAGTCAATCTATACAATGGCTTTCTCGTGTTTCCCCCTTCAACCTCCAGGCATTTCTTCCACCACCAGCTCTGTAACAATCAACCTATCCACCTACCAGTGATGAAGCCGAAGCTTCTCACACAGACCTCCCAGTACACACTAGCTCTCTCCAAAGTAACGTCAATCAGGCACACGAAGAGACCGCACAAGGCACAGGCCTTTTATAGCAAAGCGAGAACTCACCACTCACGGGACCACCAACAGGTAAGTCCAGGTAACTCTCTCTCTCTCTCTCTCTCTCTCTCTCTCTCTCTCTCTCTCTCTCTCTCTCTCTCTCTCTCTCTCTCTCTCTCTCTCTCTCAAACACACACACCACTCACCACAGAATATGCTCGCCCTCATGTCTCAATCTCACGCTAATCTATGTGTGTGAGCATCGTCTATCCCAGCTATGTCTATTCTCACTCCCACTCTCACTCTCCGCCCGCCTTCTCCCAGTGCTAGCACTCTAGCAGCAGCACTCCAGCCTCAAAGCGGAGCAAGGCAGAATGAGTGTGCGACCTGGGGCAGGCGCAGTCTTTGTAGCTTGGACTCAGCCTCGCCTGCCGCCAGTAGCGTCCTTGTGTGGCTGATATTTTATGGCCTGTGCACCAAGATTTCTTGCGGCCATTCTGTGCCTTGACCTGGTGAGCCCTGGGAGCTTCGAGAAACTGCTCTGATCCTCAGGACTCTGTGCGCTCTGCAGAAGTCGACTCCTGAAAAATATCCACTCTTTGACTTCTAAAAGGATGGGTCTGACTGTTGACATTCCTAGGGAACACTCGACCCCTAGGCATTCCTGGGGCCTACTCCAACCTCTACAGACTTACCTATGGACTTTGTAGAGCCCCCTGCAAGGAGGCTGCAGAGCCGACTTTTGACCCTAGAACTTGGACCTTTCTAGATCCCCTTCAGGCCGTAGGACTGACTTTTGACCCTATCTAGAGCCCCTTGCGAGGCTGTAGGAGGACCAACTTCTGACCCTGGAACTTGGAACTTTCTAGAGTCCCTCGCAAGACTGTAGGACCGATTTTTGACCCTAGAACCTTTTTCGAGCCCATTGCAAAGGCTGTAGAACTTGGTCCTTTCCAGAGCCTCTTACAAGGGTGCAGGACCGAGTTTTTACACCCTAGATTTCATGTATTCATTTAGGACGAATAGGCGAACAGGATAATCTGAATGAGTGAATAGAACGTCTACTGTATTTACCGATTAATTCCAGTAGACTAATCTGAAACAAGAGATTACCAATGTAATTGACAGTAAACGTTACTTCACTGACAAACTCATTTTACGGAGGGGCCACGACGGCTATGGAGTTGACAGTCATGTACATTAGTCTTCGAGAGTCGAAGTGAGCCTGTTGCATGAACCAGCTGTAGGTAGGATAGTCGGGCAGAGTAGGTTGGGCGCTGGGCGCCAGACAGAGAGGAGCGACTTTGGATAGTGTGTTGGTGTGGCCTACGGGCTTGAACATTAGCTCATTACTTCATTGTATTGCTCTATATGGATGGTTTCTCGGTGCATTTTGTACTCTCTGCTTGGATACGACTACCTGGACAACTGTGTGATTTCGCAACATTGGTTTTCTGTATTTCTTTCACACTCCTATTCCTTGCAACTGTGAACTGCAAAAAAAAAAAAAAAAAAACTGTGAACCACCACAATCGAGATGGTCGACAGGAGGAACCACTCATGTCTTCTGCCACATCACCCAAAAAATACCTGCTCAAGCATAGTTGCGGCGCACTGCCCCGGTGCGCAATGCAGCGCGGAGCACTGTGCGGGATGCACTCAGGGACACCTCACGTGCATGTGCGCGCGCGCACTGGGCGCACCATGCGCAGTGCACCAAGATGCGGTGTGTGTGTGTGTGTGTGTGTGTGTGTGTGTGTGTGTGTGTGTGTGTGTGTGTGTGTGTGTGTGTGTGTG